TTAAGCGTAGTCCCTGCTCGTCCACTTGATGTCTCTTTTGAATTAAGTGCTCGTGTGTTCTCACTTGCTACCCAATTAATCAAAACAAGCTCTAACAAGGATATGGTAGTGGCTAGTATTCAGATACAAGTGTCATGGATTTTAGTTGGTTCGCTAATGTGTCTTGGGCCCAATTTTGTCAAATTGCACCTTCCGCAATTGCTGCTTTTGTGGCAAACAGCATTACCAAAGCCCAATTCGAAGGACCTTGTCACAAACCGCACTGAAACAGAATGGTCATTCATGTTTCATGTTCGTGAATGTGCTTTAGGTGCTATGCTTAGTTGTATATTACACAACTCCAAAATCATTTCTCCGGATGTAGCCAAAAGGCTTTCTGCTTTGTTGAGTAATACTCTGGTCTTTGTTTCATCGGCTCCTTCAAACTTTTCAAGTACAAATACTCCTAATGGCTCAACAACTTCAGTAACTTCACACCTCCCTTCAGCTTCGCTAAAACTCTCAGATCACGAGATGTTATTAAAACGTCGTTTGTTACAATGTTTTGTCGCAATTCGGCCCGTATCTTCTTACGAGAATTTAAGTACGCAGCTCCTAAAATTGAGCCTATCATATTTTGCAGACCCCGAAAAATACTTGGGATCTTCTATAATCGCAGCTATTGCCGCCGTATCAGGATCCTTTACGAGTGTTTGGACTGTTGGAGATGAGAGTGCCTTTGGAGTTACTAGTAGATTACAGGGAATGAATGTTGACATTGCTAATGTGGCACATAGTGATCAAAGTAAAAGTGCTGGTAGAGTAACAACCAAAGATTGGTTAAATCGAGATTTGGTTGAAAGTCGCCTAGAAGATCAGGTAAACTATTATTGATTCCAAAGTGCAATTTACGTTTTCTTTTGTGATTGAGTTAACTTTATTACGGTATGTAGCTTGAACAAGCTATAATTGGGGCTCCAGAGTATGACTCGCTGATGATATACACAACCTATTGGGAATTATCTTTATCATGTATTCCCAAACCTGTTCCGGTGGTTTCCGCGCTCGTGGACTATAGCATTGAGCTTTTTGCGTTAGTTTTTCCGTTGCAAAAATCATCGCTACAGGAATTTTTTTTGGA